GTTTTATATGGACTGAGCACGTTCTGCTACTTCGCCGATGATTAGAGCGGTCAGACTGCATTATCACATGTTCAGTTGACACTTGCTGTACAATCAGACTTTTTAGGGTAAAATTAGTTATTTGGGGTAACACGTGCTGACGTGCATGCAACCTTGTTAATAAGTTTGTGGCTTGTAAATAGTTTTTCATTACTCAGCGTATATGGCTTTTCATTAAAAATTACCTGGCAACGCATCTTAAAATTACCCAGCGATGCTTAGGGCTTAAAAAATATATATTGGCAACGCTGCATCCACGCTCTGCGCCCTGGAGGCCTGGACTATTGCCAAAACACTAGGTCTGGGCCATCTGGCACCTGGTGCCTGGTGGGAAAATGTTAAGATCCAAGCCTCCAAGGAGAGACAGTGCACATCACCCAGTGAGAACATCAAAAAATGTCAAAGTTGATAGTAGGCCTTGCTCTACCAAATAGTGATAAACTGTTTGTGTAGAAAGAATATTATGATTTGAGACTTTTAAATAAGCCTGTGAAGTGTGAATATATTAGGAAGTATAATTGTACAGGGTGACACAAAAAAAAACAGAGCTCATAAAAAGTTGAATAATTTCCACAATACTCAAGTAATCCTGTTATTTGTTTCAGATTCATTAAGAANAGCCGCGACTGAATTTTTCGAGCCGTGGTTTTATGGATTTGCCAGCCGTGATTCCATTTCTTCGAGCCATGATTCCATTTCACCGAGCCGTGAATTCCATATCTTGTCCATGAAAAGCCATTTACGAGGCGTGAATTTATTTACAAAGTCCATGCACGTGTTACCTTAAATCTGTAATTTACCCTAAAATGCAGTCTGACTGCTTTGACATGACCACAACTATGCGCGATCTTCAACAAAACGTTTGGTTGCTTTGTTTACATTACAATGTTTATGTTTTTTCTGCAGGATATTTTGGCGGGAACGGTAAAGCAATGCGGATTGTGCAAGTTGAAAATTTTATAAAATGACATGTTTGCAAAGTGCAAACCGCGATTTTTCAATCAAACAAAAATTTATGACATTCGAGCCGCGAGATTTCATACCCATTGAAATTATATGGTATTAGAGCCGCAATATTTCAGACAAAAATAGGACTTTTCCAGCCCTGCGTGGGAGCAGTGTCGCCAATATGTGGGTTTTTAAGCCCAAAGCGTCGCCAACCATTTTCAAGATGCGTTGCTGGGTAATTTTCAATGAAAAGCCATTCACGCTGAGTAATGAAAAACTATTTACAAGCTACAAACTTATTTATAAGGTTGCATGCAAGTGTTAGCCCAAATAACTAATTTGTCCCTAAAAACAGTCCAATTGTACAGCAAGTGTCAACTGAACATGTGATAATGCAGCCTGACCACTCTAATGTGACCGCAGCTACACAATTGTAAACTTGTTGTTTACATTTTTTTGGCGGGAACTCATTGCAACTGATTTCTGGACAAGCTTCACTGCATCCTGATCCATCCAACATACTGGAAACCTTACTTTTTTTCTAAATAGTTGGCCGAAGACTGACAAATATATTAAATGCAAGAATTTCAATCTGAATGTGTTGGCAAGATCTTCTGAAGGCATAAATTTTGCTAATGAAGCGTGGCCAAAGATCTTGCAATATTCATCCACTCTGCACAATGAATTACAAGTGGTAAATAAATTAATAGATGATTAAGTTAAGAGATGGTTTTAGACACATAAAAACCAATTCTGACACAGCTTGGAATTAGACACACACAGCTTGTTTTGAGCTGTGTGCAAAAATTAAAATTTTCTCAATTAAAAGCTTAATAGCTCTTAATTAGCTAACAGCCTAATTAAGTACCTAGTGTTCAATATTCAATAGTGTTCAAATTCCGAGCTGTGTCGTATTCCAATACAGCGATTGGAATTTGAACACAAGAGGGTCGGAATTACGAATTACAGTAGTAGAATTTGAAGCGCGGCCGGAATTAGTCGGAATATATGGATTTGGTAGGTTTGCATTCTAAAGGCTTTTAAATAAATATGGCAACAGTTTGTGACATTTCATTGTTGCTGGCGCACAGTGCGGTGTTTTGAGATTGACATAAAGCAAACAGAACTCAGTTGCACATACGGTGATTTTTTATAGCCATTCATTTTTTGCTATGTCCTTAATGTGTTGGAATATACCGCGTTTACCCTAATAAGGGACTGGCTGGGTAGAAATGGACAGTCCTCCAACATATTGTAAAAATGTTGTTACAGCTAAACTAATTAAAATATTGAAAAACTTAAAATAGTGTCATAAAGTTCAACATTTTTCCTATCTATGTAGCATAGAGCAAGTTAAGAAATCATACATTTATTACCTCTAAAAATCCATGAAAAAATTGTTAAAAGTGAGATTTTGGTGAAGTAGGCTACCTCAAAAGTTGTTTTTTTTGCTAAGGTCTGTAGAAAAAAGAATATTTGTTGTATTAAAAAATTTTACTTACATAAAAGTTACACACAGGTGTTGGCTTAAAAATGTGATTAAGAGAATTTGCATAGCCCATTAAAAAATAAAAAAATTGCGGCAATTTCCACACAACTGGGTAACAAGGGACACCCCCCAGGGAATAAAGGACACCCCTAAAAAGGGATTTAAAGAACCTTGGTTAGCAAAGGCTACAGTTACCAAAAAATCATTTGACAAAAAATTTTGACTACATTTACCTTGCTTCAGTCTGCTTGCTAGAGTATGGCACAACATAGGTCGAGGATGCCGTTCTGCCCAAACAATGCATCACCAAGGTACCATCTAAGCGGACGGTGGATGCCGATGTTTGCAGCAAACGGATGGCAAGGACGCCAAAATTGATTGCCCATAATCTGGAAGGCCTGGCATGGGCACTGGAAGTTTATTTTAGGACATATGCCAGGGTAGAGAGTTGCCAGTATGTTTGCTAGTGAAACAAAAGTGCATCTCTGATTAACGTGCTTTACGATCGATACTGATGCGCGCACTTTACGATTGATTTGGCCTAAGCCCAAAGACCAACAATGATGCACACACCTGCGTGATCAATACAGCTGTTGCTCCATAATCAACATAAGACACCTGCGCTTTACAGTCAATGATCAATACTGGTGCATGCATTTTACGATTGATGTGACTGACGCTCACGTTTTGCAAACAATGCANTTCCATTCTATTTATACCTATTTGGAATATTGGGCAGAAGTTTCCCAAATTACAGGTGAAAACTATTGTTTTACAGGTGATTTTTAAAAAATTGCAGGTGAAAAATAGCCCATTTTGTATTTTTTAATGAAGAAATTGGTAAAGGCCATTGGAATGGGTGAAATTGGCCAGATTAACAGGTGTTTTTGCCAATTAATGGGTTCCATAAGCTCAATTTTCCAATTAAGTTTTCTGGTTTTCTTCATTTTATCAACCATGCATTTGCTCGTATTAAAATATATAATTGAGCATTTTTGGATGGGAACACAAGATGGGTATTAGCTGCTTGAATAGCCAGTTCATAGTCCATATCAAGTTTGGAATTATTCTTCTAATCTACTTCTTACTGAAATCTCATGGCTCCTAATTGAGACATTTATTAGGAATATCCAGCCTGATTGTGCACTTTTGTTAAGATATATTGGAGGTAGTTCATCCAACTAATGGAAATCTTGCAGCTCCTAAAGTGGCAGAAAGCTCATGTTGCAGCTTAGATCATCAGATGGTGGATTGAATGTCTGTGTTGTATTCTGGTTCTGGACCCACTTAAATGTAAATAAATTTCAGAGACTCTCTTGACTCCTTCTTTTTAAGTCCTATGACATGAAAAGGAGTCAAGACCAATAAGTATTATGGATTCCATCATTATCACACATAGATATTACTTTGAATTTTGAACCAGATCAGGGAATAAATAATGAAATAGTTGTAAATAATTTTCATTTTCCACTATGCTTTGGAGTAGGCTATACTCCAAAAAATGTCATAAACTTTTTTATTCATCTTACCTTATATGAATGAATCTGGGTTATGCTTTTGGGAGTTTTAATTTCCTTCATAAATGTTATTGCCATTTGCTGGAAGACTTTTTATTATATTGTAAGATGTAAATATTCTCTAAAAATTGTTTCAGGTTTCCTAATACAGAGTCTACAGATATTTACAGCATGAACAGACATAGGGCGCTTGAGGCCCTCTCGCTCTCTGTTTGCCAGCCTTGGAAAAGTTGGTTTAATAACAGCTCATTGAGATACTCAGCAGCTCCTGTTAACAGAAAACCTTTTCCTGTTCTTCCTGACACTCTTGATGTCAATGTTCCTGAGATTCAATCTGCAACCAGAACTGCTCACAAGCATATAGCCAAACTGGCTGAGCTCAAGGAGCTTGTGAGACTGGGAGGTTAGTTCCTATGAAATATAAGTTTTAAACTTCTAGTTACTATTGCTATCAAAATTATTATTCAGTCCTAAATTACTGTTCATGTTTACTGTGCCCTCTGGTATGATGGAAAAATTTTGTTGAATTATGGTATAGGTATATCTCTTAAGGTTTTTATTTGAAGTGTCTCCTGTTATCAAAGTTTGATAATTAGACATAAATATATTAGGCTTTTATAGTTAGAAATAAATATGAAAATATATTAGACTTTTTGCTTAATTTGATATCTGTCTGTATGATCTAGGTACTTGATTGTTGGCTGGTTTATTCCTCTATTGTTGCACTTTCACCTCCAAGTGAAGACCATAAACATGTTTCTTAAAAATGTGCATGTTAGTAATAACATTTCATTAACAAACATATAAATAATGTTGCAGTAAAAATAATCTATCATTCCTTAGGGTAACTTAGAAATAAACTAATATCATTATCTTCCTAAATTTATTATTTTTTTAGTGCATTTTCTCATTTATGGAAAAAATGCACTATTGTGCTCGCCATGTCCGTCTGTCCATCCGTCTGTCTGTCCGTCCGTGACTGCACGTTTTTGTCAATGAGAAAATGCACTCTCTGTCACTCACTGCAGTGAGTACCGGTACTGAGTCATATTTTTTAATGTCAGGGGCCAAGAAATTACAAAAATATTCTGTCACACAATTTCAGTATAAGTTAAGTCGATAAGTTAATCGCGAATAACTTTTAGCCCAGACAAAAGTTTATAATGCTAAATAAAACTAATTTCGATTACTGTATATGAAGCTTTTGAAATTACTGTGAATCATATTTTGGAATTATTATTTATAGGAATATCAATGAGCTTTTCAAAACTATGACTACCTTTTTGAATTACAAATTACATTTCATATTGTATGAATTTTTTTATTTGCCGCCTCAAGGCAGCAGGTTTAGTTTCTAGTTATGCGTATTTATGACCCCGTATCGAGTTATTGAATCTTGCCTTGCCAAAAGTTGATTTCAGCCAACACCGATAAGCCAAAAGTTGATGAGTTTTTATGGTGTTGGCTGAAATCACGATTTGGTACGAATTCTCTGCACATAATATCTAGATTATGGACGAAACTGGAACGGAGTTTTTTTCTGATCAAGTAAATATATTTTTTCATGTCAAGGATGAATTTTTTGTGACATAGATATATTTTTCAAGGCAAGGATATAAATTTTCATGTCAAAGAAATATTTTTTTCACGTCAGTGATGAATATTTTAGGCCAAGAATATATTTTTTCGAGTTACAAAAATGATTTTAGCGCATTTTCTCATTAAAAAAGCGCTATTGTGCTCGTCATGTCAGTCCGTCCTTCTGTCCGTCCGTGACTTCACGTTTTCGTCGACGAGAAAATGCGCGCTCTGTCACTTACTGCAGTGAGTGACAGTTATATGTTTTTAGTTTTCTCTGGGGCGGAGGCCAAGTAATTTTTTCAGTGTATTATGTCGAAATATTAAAATTTCCAGGTGGAGAAAAAGCCCAAGCCTCATATGTCCGCAAGAAAGTTCTTCCAAGAGACAGGATTACTAGGATTTTGGATGACCCTGATGAAGACCTACTTGAAATTGGTATATTTGCTGGTCTTGGGATGCCATACGGTGATGTACCGAGTGCTGGAACAATTTGCTGTGAGTTTTAGCTTGTATAATTTTTATATTTTTAAATTCTCTGCCTCATTAAGTCCATGTTTTTTTAGTAAATTTTATGATTATTGATGAAATTTTAGATGAATTTCTAATTTACATCTAGAATAAATTCTATATTTTTAGAAGGATCATAATGCAAAGCTTTTCTATTCTTTAATGCAGGTATAGGTAAAGTACATGGCCGGTATTGCATGATATCAGCTACTGAGGGAACATTTAAAGGAGGCACAATGTTCCCGATCACCGTTACCAAGCAGATCTCAGTTCTAGATAAAGCTGAAAAATGTGGTCTACCTTTCGTTTTCTTTATTGACTCTGGAGGAGCATTTTTACCTTTGCAGGTAAAGATATATTAATGCTTGGATGCTTGTTGGCCATGAACCATTGATGACATGTGTTATGGAATGCTTCTTAAATGATGCTTAAAGTATCTTAATTGATTATTATGTTTATTTTGAAGAGTCAGAAAAATTTACTTTACAATGGATTTATCAGCTAAATCATTTGTATGTATATACGTGACAAACTTGTCTGGCTTTAATTATGTAGACAACCATATCTCATAATTCAAAGCAGTGGTTCCCAAACTTTTTCAGGCTGGCGACCCCTTTGGCGCCCTTCTGAATTCCTAGCGCCCCTCACAGACACATATAAAAACATACGCCTCTTTCTCGAAATTTATTACGCTTCAATTTTAAAAGATAAAGGGTAAACACAAATGTGTATTTCACAAACAGAACCCCATTTATTGCACCAATATGTTTTTCAGCCGTTTTAACTGTTTCAGGACTAGAAACCTAGGACGTCTCGGCAAATTTACGGCCGGACTCATGGCCGGTCTCACGACCAATCTCCAAATTCAATTATCAAGTAATATCTCCCAAAATAATGAAAGCAGCTCAATGAAACTTGGACATGTACTCATCAGAACCTAACGGTGATGTTTAGCACATGAAAATTTTTGAAATTTCACCTTCATTCGTAAGTTATATTGCGATACAGGCCGAAATTCGCAGTGATCAAAGAATTTCTTCCAAATTACTGAACAGATTTGAACGAAATTTTGAATATACATTCCTAACTACCAAACGGCGATTTTTAAATTACAAAATTTTTCGATTTTACCTTCGTTTGCGAGTTTTTTTCATTTCTTCCATGATCGTTGAATTTAGAAATTGGACGTGAGACCGGCCGCGAGTCCGACCGTAAATTTTTCCGAGACGTAAACCCAGGAGAAGTTTGAAAAACAGATCTGGGTGAATAAAAACCATCGCTGGGAGTCATGATGTGCTGTATGTGTTGTGTACAAATCGTTAAACAAACGTTCGAACTTCTGACTTCGACTTCGGACTGCCGCCCCCTACCGCCCCGCTATCGCCCTTTTCTTCCATACCGCCCCCCCCAAAAATTTTCCACCGCCCCTAGGGGGCGATATCGCTCACTTTGGGAACCACTGATTTAAAGTATTATAAAAGATAATTATCTTTGATTTAATTGCAGCTGTTATGATTGTGGTGATGAATAGTTGTTGTTTCCTTTCAGTCGTTACTGTTCCCTGACAAGATGGGAGGAGGACGCGTGTTCTACTTGGAATCTGTGCTGGGTTCACAAGGCTTGCCAACCGTGGCCGTCATCTGTGGCTCCTGCACTGCTGGAGGTGTGACTTTATGTGCTACTATATTCGAATGTTATTGGTAGTAAACTGGGCTGTTGGTAGTTTGTTGGATTTATGTTGTTGTTGACCCTCATCGCCTCGCTTCATGGCGGGAGGCGAGGCCTAGACCCAGTTCTGGGGCCAGCCAAGTCGGTCGCCTCAGCGGGCCAGCAGCCCCGCGGCGTTTACGGGGTCTGCCCAAAGGTCCCCCACCGACAGGGATGTGGGCATTTCAGGACAGGAGAAAAGATGAATGGTGTTGTGTGTGTTGGATAGACAGAGTGGGCAAAGTGGAGAAGGGTGTGGCAGGGTCTATTTTATTTAGGTATGAGGGAAGTAGCGGGGATTTGTTTGTGCGAAGTTGGGCAAGGTTCCTGCGTGCAGGTCTTGGTAGGTTGATTTCAGATGGGTGGATCTGTGGTGTGGGAGGATTTTAAAAATTTTATTGTGAGGGAGGATTGCAAGATAGTTTTCTGTGATTGTAGTGTGGATTGTTTTGAGATTTTGTTTTTCCTTGAATGCAGATGAGTTTTATTATTTTGCTGTTTCCTAACTCAAATATGGTGGGAAGCTACAAACCATTTTGGTAGTTTTATTTCTCACCAATTTCTATTTTGCAGCCACACAAGAAAAATATCTACAAACATTATTAAAACCTTAATAAATAAGAAATGTTAGCGGAGAAAAAAAATTATGTGCCCTATATTTTAAAGTATTCCAGTTATGGCTGCTATTTTATTTTATGCATAGAAATTCATTACTTCATTCATACACAGAAAACACATGCACTTTAGTAAACATTTAAATAAAATAATTGAATTACAATTTAATGTTTAAACTCTGAGGGAGACCTGAAGTATAGAACTATTTATTATTTTGTCAACTAAGAAATAAGTGTTTATTAAATTATGAAAAGATTTCAGGGGCGTACGGACCAGCGCTGTGTCAGGAGGCAGGGATCACTGACAAGACAGGCACGGTTTTCTTGGGAGGGCCGCCGCTGGTCAAGGCTGCCCTGGGCTATGACATCGGCGCACAGGAGCTTGGAGGGGCGGAACTACATTCAAGGTGTCAAAAAAGTTGTGGCGAGTCTGTCACGTGCAGAACTGACGGGGAAACTCAGGATTTGTGGCGAATTGTTTTGGGTCAATGTTTGGAGTTTCTGATGATGAGTGGTAGTGACATTTATAGAAGTAGTGGTGAATTGTGATCATTCAAGGTGTCGAAAAGTTGTGGTGAGGCTGTTACGTGCAGAACTGATGGGGAAACTCTGGATTTGTGGTGAATTGTGTTGGGTCAATGTTTGGAGTTTCTGATGATGAGTGGTAGTGAAATTTTGTAGTAGTGGTGAATTGTGATCATTCAAGGTGTCGAAAAGTTGTGGTGAGGCTGTCACGTTCTGAACTGATGGGGAAACTCTGGATTTGTGGCGAATTGTGTTGGGTCAATGTTTGGAGTTTCTGATGATGAGTGGTAGTGAAATTTATAGAAGTAGTGGTGAATTGTGATCATTCAAGGTGTCGAAAAGTTGCGATGCTGTCACGTGCAGAACTGATGGGGAAACTCTGGATTTGTGGCGAATTGTGTTGGGTCAATTTTGGGAGTTTCTGATAATGAGGGGTAGTGAAATTTAGAAGTGTTGAATTGTGATGATTTCCATATGCAAAACTAGCATTCTGAACTGATTCAAGGCAATCCTCGATTTTAGATGGTGATTGTTCATGAGTGAGTCGAGTTCACTTAATGATCATGTTGTGATGAATATAATTATGGTGGAACATTTTGGTTTTATTCATCTGAAAATTTCAATGTTTAAATTACTGTGTGAATGATGAGACCTGTGATTACATTGTGATTGATTACACTTACCTTGTAAAACAAATTTTATTTTTATCCCATTTCCCCATACCTAAGAATAACTGAGAATAAACTCATCTAAATTTTTGTGTAGAGTGAGTGGCGTAACAGACTACTTCCTGGGCACTGAAGACGAAGGTTTTGACGTGGTACGCGACGTTATAGCGACTACGAATTACTCCTCGTCTGACTGTACCGCTGCCACTACGTGGGAAGAGCCTCTGCACGACGCTTCTCATCTCGACTGTCAGTGATGCACGTCATCACATTTTTGCTGTTAATTACAATTAATTCATTTTGAATCAAATTTAATTTATTTAATTATTATTTTTATTAATTAAATATTAATGATCAAAATTACTTAATTCATTTTAAATAAATTTTTACATTTATTATTATTACAAATATTGTTCATTATTGTTTTCATTTGTTCCTTTTTTCAATTAAATTTAATGATCGCGTTCAATATTAGTGTAAATATTCAAAGAAGAATCATGTAAGCAATACCTTATGCAGGAGATTGTTGTTAGTATACTTTTATTTGGTTTACAGGGATTATAGAAGGAAATTAGGGATTTTTGGGATGAATAATGAATGCCAGAGCTCTCTAATAAAATAAAAACCTGAATGACAGATTAATATAATTTGTTTTATACTCATGTTATTGTTTGTATTTACAGCTTTGTGTGGGCTGCAATCTTTGAGCAAAGACCAAGTGGTTGCCGTGTATATTAATTATACTCATGTTATTGTTTGTATTTACAGCTTTGTGTGGGCTGCAATCTTTGAGCAAAGACCAAGTGGTTGCCGTGTATATTATTTATACTCATGTTATTGTTTGTATTTACAGCTTTGTGCGGGCTGCAATCTTTAAGCAAAGACCAAGTGGTGGCCGTGATCANGTGTGGGCTGCAATCTTTAAGCAAAGACCAAGTGGTGGCTGTGATCAGTCGTGTGGCAGATGGCAGTCGCTTCAGGGAGTTTAAAGCCATGTACGGCAGTCACCTCATTACGGGCTATGCTGCTGTTCATGGGTCTGTTGCGTTCGCCCATCACCTCAAATTAAACCAATTAAATGGACAAACTTGAGATATTTATTCCACATTTTCATTATTGTGTTCCTCTTTACATTTTTTACCAAATTGAATTCGAAAAAAATACAACTTATTTTATTAAATTTCAGTTATATTTATAATAAGATTTTCCATGTTCACTTGAATTTTAAATTTAACTGCAACTACTTTAGGACTAAAATAGTCGATTCTGTTGAATCATATACTTTGCGATTGATTTATTTGCTGTATTTGCGTATGTCGATATGCTTGATAATATTCTGACACAATCTTTTGAATTCCTGTAAGTTTTGTGGTATATGTTTTCAGACAGATCGTGGGAGTGGTGGCCAATTTCGGCAGCCTGACGTATGCCGACGGCCTCAAAGGCGCTCATTTCTTACAAATCTGTCAACAACGACATCTGCCTGTGCTCTTCCTTCAAGTCAGTTGGAATCTTGCCTCAATTTTAGCTCTTTTGAATATTGCTAATAATTTTACCTACATAGCATCAAGTTCGATCTATCTTGATGAAAGTTGAACAATATCTAAAGGGTTTTATTATGTGTGTAGAAAGGGTTATTCTAAATGAAGGACCCAATTTAATATATTCACATTTTTAAAGTATAAATTTAAAATGAATACTTTATACATCGATGGAAAGAGATAGATTCAAATTTTTATTTATTTATGTATAAATGTTCAATATGTCCCATTTGTGCTGCACGGCAAACATCTAAAATTCTAAACGGTAGCCAAACTCGTCCCACACACGAGAAAGCATATCTTCTGTTACCCAGTGTAACAATGCTACGCACCGCATCACTGCTACGGTGCGTAGGAGTGATACGGTTCTTCAGATTACCCAGAGTTGCTGGTAGAGGCGCGACGTAAACAGCTTCTTTAACGTAACCCAGTAAGAATTGAAATAAGAAATAAAAACAGAGTTGCTGGTAGAGGCGCGACGTAAACAGCTTCTTTAACGTAACCCAGTAAGAATTGAAATAAGAAATAAATGAAATTGAATAAACTCCATGAAAACAAAAATTGTTGGTACAAAGGTATCGTTGGTATTTGGCGTCTTGCAACGCATTGCAAACGTCTCGGTCGATGTACTGCTTAATCAGTATATTTGAGATGTGTATGATAATGTACATTTTCAAGCTATGTGCTTGCGTGAAAATGCTTCGTTTATAACTTGTCTCAGCATCTCTGAAAATTAGCTATGTTTCAAAATTTCAATAATAACTCCTCAGCTTAAAATTCACTGTTACAACCATTTTTATGATATTTGGAGACCAAAACATACTTCAGAATATCAAAGATTGTTAGAATATATTCTTCATTCGAAAAGTGGGTTGCTCAATTCAAATATTTTGTCCATGCCAAAAGCTGCTTGCACATTATTAATGTAAATGTACAAAGATAATAATTTGTGAACAGAAGTTATTGTGTTAGGTAATGTATTAAAAGAATTACTCTTAACAGAACAACGCGACGGACATCGCTAGTCATCGTTATGGATGATTGATGTCGTTTGTCCCATCATTCCCCTAATTCCCTTCATAGATCGGAGTAAAAAAGGCCCAGATTGGAGATGAAAGCAGCAGCAACAGCGCTCAAAACAAAGATAAAGAAAGCAGGAGTCGAAGTAAAGCGCTTCTTCCCGGTAGCTGCTGGTACGATGCAAGCCACATGCTCATCGACGGTGTCATCGCGCCTAGCCAAACTAGAACTGTAAGTTAGTGATAAAACATCATTGCACTCACTGTGACGTTGTCAACTTCGCTTAGATCATAATTTCTTTAAATTTTTTCAAAATAGAAATTTGTATATATGTGTGTGAATTCAGTCGAGGCATTATGCAAGAAGGTCACCAAACCTTGCGGAGGTGATCTTGAAATGCAGGGGGTTACTCATTCTAAGTTGGGCATAATTATGGAGCAATTGTTCGAATAATGCCAAAAATTATTTCTATGTATACTTTTTCTTAATTACAAGTCATAAGGTGTCGGGCAACAAATATTCTACTTGTTATCCATACATCAATTTTCAATTGTCATTCTGTATAAAATGTTAAGGTAATCACTTTATTTCTAGGTTGTTGCGAAGTGCTTGGCCGTGAGCGCACAGAGGAACAAGCTGCTGTTCGAAAGCCGCGCGTCTCCAGTCTACAGACTCTGATGCAGTCTCTACCTAAAATTATCATTGTTGTTTATTCAAAAAGTTAGCCTTCTAACTCATTTTAAAATAAGTTTAAAGTGTTGCGTTTCTTTTAAATGTTTCGGAGCGAATTACTCGGGCAAATAAGTGCACTTAGATGGCAATAATTTTTGGTTTGAGATGATAAGTTTATTTTGTCGCTGTCTAGAAGTTTATTGAACTGTCCATGAAACATCTTGTGCAATGACAAACATTTTTATTTGAATACCTATAGGATTGTTGAACCGACTACCAACATCGTAATCAATGCTGAATATTATTACCTATATGGGCATTTTCCTTATATTATTTTTATTAATTGAGCTGATTATGTGCAGGTTATTCGTCTTTCGTCAGAAAAGGTCCCGATTGTTTTCATTGACTCTATAAATTTATTTTGTCAAGTTTATTTAATTGCGCTATTTTTACCGTACTATAGAAGACTAAAATAATGAAAAAGTTAGGTTTTGCAAAACAATTTATGTCTGACAAGGCGCTTGGTTTGATCTTTCATTTCTTGTTCATACACAAAACTTCAATAATTCCACTCTTAAGAGACCTAATTTTTAATGCTTTATACCGAATACGTCTAAAATTTTAATCTGTTGTATTACTTCTCTGTACATTACACGATCATCTTTTAATGGGTTCAAACGTAATATCGTATTCAAACGTAAAATAATAATTTTTTATCATATTTTATTTTACTTGCGTTTTTGATATTATGAGACGCTTCCTCTGCGACTGTTTGATCCAAGCCGAATTGTACGGATTGCTGATCTCGTGAAGCTCTCCGTAAAATACGACTTTCAAAAATGTCTAAAACTTGTGCTGCTCACGCAATATCAGTGAACGTTGCACTTGCTTGAAGAGTTTCATCAACTATACGCGACTTCCGAAAAGTACAAATTTCTTCAAAGTCATGAAGTCTTTCTTCAACTCTGAAAAATCTTTCTTCAAAGTCGTCCTTGTCGCAAAGAGACACCCGTAAAACTCAGTGAAGGTGTTCGAAACTTACAAGGGACCTTTTTCATAATAAGTTTATCCATTCGTTTCTTCGTTCCATATTTAGTTTGTAATATGTTAAATCAATACGGAGTGTTTGCATGTAGAACTCCCTTCATATCCCTTCATAATTTCCCATGTAACTTCTTTTTATTCGATTGTTAATTGGTATGTTTTTCTGGACAGCCTTGTTGAACTAAAGGTATTGCCGTAAATCGAAAATTGGTGATAAAAATTTGTGTTATCTGTCGTCTATATTAAACACGAATTTGATTTTTTCGTGTGGAAGTAAAGAAGTATGTTGTTCTCTTCTAAAGCCGTTCTTTATTTGTACGTTGTTGGGACTACTATTACAGATGTATTTTTTAATCCTGTTTCAGAGCCTTATTTACGAGCAGAATGTTCACCTCGTTTGAAATTGAACTGTAATTAAACAGTTTCGCGGTACAAATTATGATAGAAATCAAACGACAGTTTCTGGCCGATTCCAGTAATCTATTTTTTCGTAACGAATTGACAAATCGAGAAAATCAGGTTGAAGATTTGTGCTGGTTTTACCTTGTATATTAAAGAGGTTCCATTTAGATTCTCAAGTAATTCTTATTATGATTTTCCACTTTTATTTTTTCTCTTGCCTTAATATTGTCAGTGATTAAATTACAAAGAAATGAGAAAATTATTTATAAAATTTAGCTTGAGCGTATCCGCCATCTCCAACTCTCAGCACGCTTCCTCGATCTCATTCCTCTGTGAGGCCACGCCATTGGTCGGGTAGTGTTTACCAAGTTTTCAAATGACTCGGTTTAGTAAAAAACTTCGTTGGCAAAAGCCACGAAATTTTAAAGCTGTGTCAATCATATTAGGTTGACTTAAGTCCTAAGTCTCCCTAGCGACTGATAAAAATCTTTTAGTGGACGAAGCTTCAATCAAGTTTGGTCTCTGTAAAAGTTTTGTTTGTCTTTGGTCAATGGCTGTCGCGGCTGTCGAGACAAAGTTCAGCCGGACCAGAAACAATAAAGCGCTCTCTTGAGGCATGAAGGCGTGAACTCTATCTGATCCTGACTGCGCGTCCGCTTTCTTTGCCTCGGACTCGCAGCTTCCTGACTTCTTATCGACTACATCCTTAGAGGCGTGATGGCCCCAACAAAAAATCAAGGTTAGTTTTGTGCCGAGGCCCAATGTCAAGCGGGGATTTCATGCTCGACTGCATTTAAAGCGACTCCCGATTCAGCTTCGGAATAAGATGAGCTTTGTTCTCAATCTTGAGCGCGGAAACTTCCTGGTATTATACAATTGTTGACTATAAAAGAAAAGTGCAAATAAGGTTTCGGAATTTTTGGAGATCTTCCGTTTCTGGGATGGCAGATTATATTCTGATCTTTTCATTCAATGATTAGTAGGCTGGAGCGTCGAGTTAATCAACTGTCATGAGAAAATGCCTTTTGTTTTAATGCTTTGGTTTTGTCCACCACGGTGACGCTAAATAAAATTGCAAATTTCTTGGCTTGATAAAAGATCTAGAGATTCTTTTACTTCTGTCGCAGTGATATTTTTAGAACTTCTTTGTCTCTAGAAAAGGTTTTGACTCGTTGCCAGGAAAATAAATTCTTTTAAACCTTCAACCGGCGACGCAGACGAATAAAATTTCATGAGCTTCATAATAGAGCCCATTCAATTGAACTCGAAATTTCAGATCTAACATAGTATGTATTGTATTTTTAACTGTTCACTTGCAATGATTTCGCGTGGCAATCATGAATATGTCAATAGTGCATTAATTAACATGATCCGGAGAGAATGTTAATTAATGCAATAGTGCGTCAAGAAATCCGCAAAGCACCGCCCAGACGTCCCACTTCAATCAACCAGTATCATAAAATGTGGTTGAGTTTTTCATTTGCAGGAAGACGCGGATCGTAAACACGAGTCCGGTGATTACGACGCCCAATAGAGATTGAGATTGGGGAGAGGACGAAATGGATTGAGATGCGCCAGCAAGATGGTGTCATTAAACGTCATTAGCCGAGTTCCGACCTCCGCTGTGTCGGTCGACTTTATATGACGGCTTTGACAGAAGGTTCGCAAGTAAAACTTGGTCAAGTGAAAAGCAGACGAAAACAGATGCGTAATCGATTGATTCTCTCAAGTCTAATTCGTGAATTACAATGAAGACCATGTTTGTAAATCATGCGTAATTAAGCTATAAATTTCCGGATTTTTTTTTTCAGGTTTAACGTTCAAAGAAACATAGAATTAGAAAGTTCTAATCGTTTTTAGCGCATTTTCTCATTTATGGAAAAAATGCACTATTGAGCTCGTCATGTCTGTCTGTCCGTCTGTCCGTGACCTCAAGCTTTCGTCGACGTGAAAATGCGCTCTCTGTCACTCACTGCTGTGAGTACTGAGTTATATTTTTTAAACTTTGATTTGGTTAAGTTCAAGGTGCCACAGTCCGCAGATAAAGGAATGAGATCAGGGTTTTCCCTGGAATAAATCATCGCTGGTTGCACTACGAAGGAAAATTTATACTTTACAGTTTTACCGCGAAAATTCTTCGTTGACATTATAGGAGGCATGGCAAATATCCCTCTGAATTACAACGCTCGATCAAGTTAATATTGAAGGATTGAACTAACGGCAAAGTTCTAACTTTGACATCAAAATAGGAGACGGTCTTGAGCCATGAGCGTTCGGGCCAAATCCTCCAGGCTTAGGAGACGATTGTGCGCTGAGCCGCTGGTGTGAAACTCTCCGACAGACTCGCTCGATCGACCCGCACAAATGACGTTCTTCGCGGCGTTGTGATTGGAATTGGTTTCCATTATCTGATCAAGAAATGGCCAAGTAACGATGAAGGTGATGGATTTTTTCTAATCATTGGTCATAATGTATTTAGAAAATATTTTAAATTTAAGTTACATTGTAATTCGTTTTCACTACAGAAGGTATCTTCGTGGTAGTGTCTATAGCCTACTCTTAGACTCGGCGACCATAGATCTTAAATTTGAAACGCTCCACTGACATGTTTGCGATCCGAGACTATTCGAAAATATTGGACGATAGATCGATGGCCATTGAAAGAGCACCACTAAGCGACAAATACTTCCTGAATGGAAGAGGCGAGCTCGGTCGCATCCTAACCTACGGAAATGATTTGATTGATGGCGCTCTGATTAGCGATAGATGATGAGCTACGAGCGTCTGATGGATGGACGACGCAGGGCTGCCACAACAACCGCACCGGGTGAATCCTTCTGGAAAAATAGCAACTCGTGTCGGGTGAGAAATTATTTGCTATTCGACGAAAACTTAAAAATTGGAAAAAATTTATTTTCCTATAAGGGAGGTATTTATTTCTACGGCGGCGTGCTCGTGCTTTAGATGTGTTAACTTGTGTCTTGAGAGGAATTAATTCTTAATGTTAACAAAAGATCGCAGAGAAAATATCTCTTTGTATTATTATATGAATAAATTACAATAGATGATCAAGTATTGCGAAGAAAATACTTTCTGCAAGAGAAGAATTTGTAATATTTTACGTTTCTGTTGAAGAAACCTCCTTTTAATTTGGTTCATGCTTAAAATCATTCACATCAGTCACCAAATTTCTAATGAAAAAAAATGTGATGAATATTGGGCTGAAAAGTTCTCATACACAGGCAATTTTTATTTTATTGTGAAAAAACATTCGGACTATCGTCCAGAGCTAAATACAATCATAAATGTATTGCTCGAAAATAAAACGAATTACTGATAAATCATTCATAAATTCAATGGTTTATGTAATTTAAAATCTCGCATAAATAATGAATGAAACAGAAAGTAATTTAGGAATTCCAGTACCTAGACGCTGCCAGTTATTTTTCTGTTTGAATTTCGAAATCCAATCTTGATCAATTGAAACTCCGAGCTAAGCTCATGCGGCAAAAAATAGGATGGATCTTTCCTTTTGAAGATCCGGCCGCACGTGCCCCTGTTGGGAGCTTGCATTGTCTTCCATATTGTATAAAAGAAGAGCCGAATTAAAAGTTACTTTCAAAGCTATTGTTGTCTCGTTCTTTTACATTACGGTAGTTCCATTCATGTTCTCTTTAATAAGTGTTTATTTGTAAAGGGGACGAGTCTGTAAATTTCTCTACTCCCTTCCGCCTCTTTTAAATTTGTACATATTTAAAAACCTCAAATTCTCTGTTAACAACTTACGTATTCAGTGACGTCTCCATTGAGTTTTATTTTGTACATTGTTAGTCGAGGAAGACAGCGAACCAAGTGAATATAATGATGTTATAATATGTATACTGAAATGTGTATTTCTACTATCGTATTAGTTAAAATATTTACATTAAAAATAATAACATTAAGGAGTTATAAATATTTACATTAAAATGACGCTCAGACCTTAGAAGTGGGGCCTTAGAAGGCCCCAGGTATGTTGAAAAACGGAATAAATATGTAATATGACATTGTCACGAAATAATATTCCGGGTAACTGGGCATCACTTTGAACGCAATGTACCGGTGACTGCGAGAATTTATTTGCAGTCTTGATATTCAGATCAAAATTCTGCATAAACAAAACCCAGTTCAGAAAACAATGCAAAATAAAGCGAAGATGTATGGCGCGTATAGCTATGATTCTGATTAGAGGTAAAGCTGGAAAGGATTGGAAATCCAGGCTTCTGAGGGCAGCGTTTTTATCGCTATCGTCCGCGAGATAGAGACCATCAAAGAGTGGATGACTCATGGCAACAGGTGCTTGGCGTTGCCATGGTGACGCCAGCCCTACCCTCGCCCGGGGCAAAAGGGGGGGGGGACTACATTTACCACTCTCTTCGGTGTAGCTGCCGAGCTCCACTCTTTGTGAGTGGGGGATATTTCTTCCACTCTCTTCTCCGCTGTAACTGAGTCCCACTCTTTATGGGTGGGAGCTACTCGACGCCACTCGTTTCTTGCATATGGGACTGCCGACTGGACACTGGACAGGTGAGGTATGTAAAATTGACAAATTTAAACATCAAATGAAGAATGGAAATATTGCAATTAAAATTATTATTTATTTAAGTGTGGCGGGTGAAGACAGTTGGATGGACGGCTGGGACATGCCCCTTCTCAATCACTTATTCTCCGTAGGGCATATTTCTCTCCTTTCATATCTCGGTAGGGCTTCTATTATTAGTCTAATAGAAGTCACAGTAACAAAGTTCGGTAATCAAGTAGCACCAGCAAAACGTTCGCGTCATTGCATACAAATTCTTTTGTGTCCAGCCACCACTGCAACCAATCGAGCACTTGTTGTATAGATATCATACGACTTGAATATCCGTATGAAAACTTGTATTTCAAGAGTTTAAAGCCATTACAGCAAGAAT